TCAAATTTTTTTGAGAAAATTCACTGGAACGTATCATTTTTCTCAAAATTAGTGAATTTTTCGATGTTTCTCTTTTAAATTGAAAAATTTAGAAAACTAAAAAAATTCGAATAGTGTTTTGATTCAATTAATCTTGCCAAAATAATATATTTCAGCACAAAATGCTAGTATTTAAGTGCAATTTCTTGGAAAAAGTTGCATGTCTGTCAAGTTGGTAGAAGAATAAGAAATTAAAAATGGTGGAGTTGTTGCGATGATTGATAGGTAAGAAAGAATCCGTTTGGATAGGATATTATCACTTCTGCAAGCATTATCACAAGCAGATAAGTATCCAACGATAGTTTCTGACGGAATCAATATCCTCTACTCCAATGCAACATGCCGAGAGAGAGAGTATGAAGTATAACATTTGAAATTTGAATATTTTGGAAATTCAGTAGAATGAGTAGCAGTTAAAATTTTTTTCGTTGGATTTTCGAGAACATTCATGAATGGTAGAATTTAAAAGATGCTAAATAAATTGAGTTAACTCTTTTCTCGTAACAAAAAAGAAACTGTTATCAACTGTACACATATGTTAGATATTTGATGAAAGTGTGACAGAAAATAATTTCATCTTTTGTTTGACACGAATCTGAATGAATATTCCCGAAATTTTTGAAAATATTGAATATTTTTAACCGTATTATTCCTATCATAACACATTATCGAAAATATTTTTATGAAGTTTAGCATCATATAATAACAATCAAAAATCAAACTTGTTGGGAAGATAACTGAGTAGTGATATCATAAATCGGTGCGTCGGAAACCTAAAATTTTGCTTTGTAATTCTGCTTAATTTAGTTTAAATTAGCAAAAGCTTAAATTTTATGCTCGAATTTTGTAAATTATGAAGCAGAAATTCTGCTAACTAAAAAATTCGAAATCAGTAATGATCTAGTAACTAGAAAATTTAAATTTATGATATGATGATTTATTGGAACTAGAAAATTTAACTTTACTGATATGATTATAGCCTTTTCCATTAAGATATCGACGAATAATCTTTATGACCTTTAACAATGGTAGTGAAAAGATTGAAATGTTGAAAAACTTTTAAACGTGTTACATTTCTGTTTCCATTTTTAAGCATTAAAAATTAAAAAATGCCAATTTCTTCTCTTACCCTCCAATTTTCATACAATATATCATTCCCTTGCAGGTAGCAAATTCCTCCGAACGAAACAGTGTAATTTTGTTGAAATAAGAAAAGCTTGAGGTGGAACAGCTGGCATGAGTTTATTCTACACACACACACACACACACACACACACACACCCACGATTTATAGATAGCTAGAAGGAAAGCACTAAAGCGATCTCTCAATAAATTATTTGATCAGTCAAAAATTTAAAAAAATCTTCAAAAACGATAAATAACGACAATCCAATTAATTTAATTAAATGCGAATTAATTTCAATGAAAATCTTCGATAAAAATAACAAGAAGTCTTTCGGTAAAACTCTGATACTATACAAGCTGATTTCAAGAAAATATGATCTGATCCAGAATATTTAAAGTCTATTTGCACAACTTGAATACTGTAATTCAATAATTCAAAAAAAAAGATCTCAGATCATTTAGATTGTATTGATAGCTGGCAGCCAAAAAATACCGCCTTTTTTATTTATTTGATACAATCTTATCAAGATCAGACTGATATTTTCCGGTATGATAATGATAACATTATTTGTATTTCATAAGCTACAAACAAACAGATGGAATTACAAATATTTTAGTATTAAAAGTAGCACAAAGATAGAGTAATCAGTGACTTATCATTACTAGCTGTTAAGTTTTTTTTTTTCTTCTCCACCCTCATTGTAGTACTATTTTCATTTCAAACATTACTTTCAGTTTCTCAGTTTAACTGAATGGGGTGGAGAGTGTCGACTTTCTGCTGAACAATAACAGTTTCTTTCTTGCTAATAGCTGTTTTGAAAGGATTTTGATTTGTCGTTCAAAAGTAAAATAAATCTTTTTCGTTCTCGTTTTTGTTGCTGTACCAATAATCATTTCTTCTCAACTTGCAGCATATTACGTATGCACGTATGCACATACGCACGCACACATATACACATGCAATCTTTTTTTATCGTTTATTTTAAACATGAAATGAATGAAATTTATTATTATCAGTGATACAAACATCACGAATAGATTGCATAACATATAGGCAGATTGTTGAGAAGGATGAAATCATCTGAGGTGTATCGATGAAGAAGCAGCTATGTTTTGTACCCTCAGGCCTCTTAATAAACAAAGCAATGCACTCTTCTCGAGAGTTCAAGATTACACACACAAACATACACACACACACGCACACGCACACACGCACATATATATATGTATATATATATACAGATATATATAGAACCAACAGACAGACATCCCGCTTTCATTCCCTTCCAACAAAAATTCCCGTTCTTAAGAGCTTCAGCTTTGCCAAGCAATTCTCATCATTCTTAATTTTTCTCCATTTTGTTCATAAGCAAGTGTTGGCAAAACAGAAAAGCTTATTTGTAAACTTATGCTAAGATCTTTTTTAGTTACGGTGAATGCTTACAATTCTTACTGTATAATGTCCGATCTTTTGTTAAGATTAATTTGAGAAATTATCTACATATTTTATATGTATATATAAATTTATTTAAGATTAACTTGTAATATGACTTTTAAAATTCTATCCAGTATTCTCGTAACTAATCAAAATTGAAGTTAATGTAAGATTAGATTAAAGTTTATTTGAGATTAAAAAAGCGAAGCAAGACGTATTCTTTCGAGCACTAAAATTATTACTTTCCGAGGCTTAAACTTTAATTCTAAGTAATAGAAAAGTGATTTTCTTGGCCTTTAATTGTACCTTCTAAAAACTTTTCTTCTTTTTTTATTCTTATTTAAATACTTCATTTCACTTTAAATTGTGTTAATAGCAATATCTTTTTTTTGCATAATTTTACAGCTTGTTCAATCCACTAAAATAAGACTGTACGGGAAAAATGGCAGAGGAGGAAGAAGAGATGTGAGTTTAACTTTTTACTGTAATAATGTAAATATTTATTAAATCACTTCAATTTTCTGTAAGACGTTTAATGAAAATTTTTGATTTTTAAAATTTTCATTAAATGCCTTAATTCTTACCAAAAATTGCTGTAGCACTGAGGAGGAGGAAGATGAAGATGTAGAAGAAGAGGAAGAAGAAGCGGAGGCAGAAGCACCGCCAGCTGCGCAACGTGGGGATGATGAAGCGCCTACCGAAAAAATGGAAGCTACGCCGCAGTAAGTTGAACCTTAAAATTTTCAAAAGAGGTGCAGTGAAATCTCGCCATTTATGAATTTCTTAGATGGTCGACCTTCAGATTAAATGAGTGTTGATGAATATGTGATGAAATTCTCGAATATAATGATGAGCTCTGTTTCCAAATCAGAAAGAAAAAAATTAAAACTTGAAATCTGAGTTATGGTTTAATTCCATTCTAAACTACTTCCAAAATAATTATTTGATTATCATTGAATAATTATGGACTAAATATTATCAAATGTTATGATATGATATTGTTTCTTGCTCAGTTTGTCTGTTGTTTCAAAAAAGCCTAGGAAACAATTATTGAAATTCGGCGCTTCTTTAGAGGAAATTTCACAATGCATTTATTCCTCTTATCACTAATCAATGAGTCATAACTTTTCTGCATAGCATAGAAAAGTTAACTCTATAAATATATTTCAGGTTAAGACGAGCACCACCTCAGGAAAAGGATGAAGCACCAGCTGAACAAACGGAAGCTGAAAAGGCTATGCTTGTAAACCTTTCCTTCAATCCCTAAAAAATTACTATTCTTGAATAAAGATGAGACAAATTTCAAATCTATTCAATATATTCAAAGATTCAAATTTTAGGATACTGAGAGCTTAATGTCCATGTTAAATCAATATTTTAATGAACGCAGAACACACATCATTTCAGGCCGCCAAAAAGAGGCATCAGGAGGAAGAAGCAGCTAAAATTCAAGATTATGAAGAACGACGACGAGTGGAAAAAGAAAAGATCGAAGAAGAGTTACGAGCACTGAAGGAAAAACAGGAACAAAGAAGGCAGCAACGTGAACAAGAGGAACGTGAATTCGCGGAAAGGCAACGCCAAAATGAGGAAAAACGACGTCAGGAGGAGGTATTTTTTCCAGAATCACGAGAATACCTGAAATTATATCGTCGCATCATTATGAATTTCTAAAAATGGCATTTCAAATTATAGTAACTGAAATCATCAAAATATGAAATGTCTTGCAATCCCGAGTGATTCCAATATCCACGATTGGTATTATTTCTTACATAAAATTACAGTATGTCGAATAAATTTTTCATTTGGGATTTCTGTTATAGCTATTAAAATAATAGCTACCAAGCTATTATTTTTCAAGTGGTTTATTGATGTGAGGAGGTTAAATATTATTAATTTTTTTTAATATTTCAAGGAAGAAAGCAAAGCGCGAATTGAAGCGGAAAAACAACGACGAGAAGAGGAAAGAAAAAAACGACAGAATTTGATGGCTGGCTCATTTGCTGCTGGGACAACAGACGGTGGAAAGAACTTCGTGATCCAGAAATTAGAAAAGGGCGATCAGTTAAAACCTCATATTGTG